AATATATATATATATATACAGAGAGAGAGAGAGCAAGTGCTGTATACTGTATACACGAACTATTATAGAAGAGGCGCATGCAGCAGCAGCAGCAGCAGCAGCAGCAGCAGCAGAAGAAGAAGAAGAAGAAGAAGCAGCAGATGAATAATTATTTCCTTACATGCAAGGATTTATTGTCTGAGTAACAAACAGCCCCATAACCAACAAATACGTCAATAGGCTGCAACGGGGCCTCCACTGCAACAGGTGCTGCTGCTGCTGCTCCTCCTCCTCCTCTTGTTGCGCAGTCCTGCATGCATGCATGCATGCATGCAAATCAAGCAACGCCCTTACACGTTTAGCTGACGGACGGATAAGTCAGGCTAGCTAGCTCGCTAGCTAGCTAGCTGCCCAACTTGGTGGTAAGCTGGCTACCTGAGCTAGCCATGTTGAATGCCCGTTGTATGCTGCAGCTAGCCACTCATATGCAACTAGCCAGCTAGCTAACCAGCTAGCTAACCGGCTACCTACGCAGCTCTCCTGTGGTACACAAGAGGCCAAGAGGGTAACTAACCTGAATAGAGTATATTATGCATTCTTTTGTTGTTATTACTGCCAAACATTCGGGACCTTGAGCAGCAGCAGCGCAGCAGAAACATCAGCAACAGCAGCAACAGCAAGAACAGCAGCAACAGCAGCAGTAGCAGGTTTGTTGGCATTAAACGAAGCAAATTCAACTGGCAAGAAAATGCGCAAAAGCACCATCTCCCTTATCTACTCTTAGACTGTAGACCCTAAACCCTAAACCCTAAACCCTAAACCCTTAACTGTCAATATAAACCCTAAACTATCATCAAGGGATAAAGTATGCACAGGCAGCATAAACGCTAAACCCTAACATAAAAGGGGGGAAATAAATAGATAAATAAATAAATAAATAATATATTATAGCTACTGATACAAAAAATACAAAGAAATTCAATTTTTCGTGTTTTTCTTACTTAAGGCAAAATCAACAATTGAATCTTTTGTCCTAATTCTTTGTTGTGTCTGTGTTAGGTTATCCTATAAAGGAATAAAAGAGAGGAAAAAGACAATATTAATGATTAATCTGCCTTATTATTCTTTTCCTCCTTCTTTTTGTCCCTCTTTCTTAGTTATATAAGGATATTAATGTATAAGGAGAATAAGAATGAGTAACTTATTCAATAAAGGAACTTGTATATACAGCGTAGTAGAGGTAGTATATAACCATTAGTTAGTCACCAATATTTATGAATAAATAAGGAATAATAAATAAATATTTATTTATTTATTTACTTCTATTTGTAATATATCTTGTTCTTGTATAGATACACAGAATCTCCATGTTTCCTTTCTTGTTTGTATAACTTTATAAGCATAAAAGCCAGCAGATCCACAGGCAGCAGCAACATGTTGCCCATCTGGTGCCCATTGCATGCAAAAGACGTAATCAACTGAATCAGAAGAATAAATTCATATATATACACACAAGAATAAAAAGAATATTCAATATAAATAAACAGGAATACACGGATACGTACGGATGCCTCATTCGTCACCATCAACCTGCAGTAGTGCATGCAATAGGTTAAACTATTCAGGTAACTAACTACTTGGGCACTAGAGGCGATGCTCGTCTTCCTAGGAGGTGCACAGGGAGAATGTACTGCATTATGTATTCTCTGTGCTGCCCAGCGCTAACACAAGGAACAACTGATTGTTTATTCGTGAATTCACGTTTCTATGGTCATTCCTTACAGCGTCTTCCTTACAGCATCTTGAGGAAGCTAGGGGGCTATGGTGTCTGTGCACCCACCATGAGGGAGAGGAACAGAGCTAAGAAGTTCCCCTTCTATATTGCATAGAAGAAGCGCCTTATCTACAGCCAGTATAAACATATCTCCTGATGGTTTCCAGGAAACGGCCGTTGGACATTTCCTTTTCTTTGCGTCTATCAAAGGAAGCAGCTGCCGCGATTCAGCGCTGAGGTTCGCTAACCACGGCCGGGGACTTGAACACAAATTCTCGACGGCTATACACCTCACGAGCAATCCTTTGGGGCTCCATATGCAGCAACGACCGTCCCATCCAGCTGATAGAATTAGGCGAGCTCCAGTAGAGGCCCAGTCTGCAGCTGTCACCCCGCCCTCGTGCGCCTTCCAGGTATTCATCTCAACCTCATCATGGGCTTCTCCCCCTTGCCCTGCACCTGCCTCTCTCTTGCCGCTTATTGCTGATTTCGCAACTGCCACCAGCTCACCAAATGCCAACAATAGGTTCTCTCCTTCCGCTCCCCACCAAAGGGCTGTCACCCCCCCACCTCCAATTGCGAAGCCACCTTCCCCTCCACCTTCTTGAGATTGCGCTTGAAATTGTCGTCGCCGAAACAAGCGTTGTCGTTCCCTATGGCACGACTCAAGTGTCTCATACAGCCGAGGTAGCTAGCCATTTAGCTTAGATAGCCCACGACCCAACTGGGTGAGTAAAGAATCAACGATTAGAGCTACGCCAAAGAAGGCAGGAGAAAACAACTCACCATGTGATGACCGATCCGTCCGCAGCAGCAGTGGCTAGGAAACGGCCGTCGGGACTCCAAGTCACTGCATCAAGAGGTGCTGCATGCGAGTTGAGCGCCTTTGCAGAAACCGACCAGCTGTCTGGTGTGTACGCAGAGCTTGCCCTGCCAGGGAGGAGCTCCAATAGGATCACCGATCCCTTCAGGGTCCCTAGCGCCATACATGTGGTTCCTTCTTCTGTAGGAGGAGTGTAAAGTGCAATAACAAGCACGTGATCGCCAGCGGGAAAAGGGGGAATTTGGATAACTTCGGTGTTTGACACATCAGGCCCATCGAGCTCTGAACATCGGATTACGCCCTCTTTATCAAGCATGCAGAGTTGTTGGGTTAAATGCCCGCTGTTCCCTGGTAGCCCAGCTCCCCAATGCACCGACAGGCAGCCAGGGAGTTCCCCGTGGGCTTTCTCCCTTAGCTCTTGCATCGTCAGATGCAACGGGTAATGATGAATTCCTACCACTAAAATAGAATAACCAAGGCTGAAATACTGCCCGACTAATCAAAGAATTCTGCTTCGCCTTAGTCAGTCCTTGCTGACGGATGAACACTCTGCCTGAAACTCGAAAGCTCTACATGGTGGTTCCTTAGGTGCTGCCTACAGAGGTCATGTCTGGAGCTGATATATTTCTTTATAAATACGAAATTTGGATGCCCCATTGGGAGGAAACAACCAACTTTTTTTCCTCTGGTCTTAAAGAAAAAAGAATGAAAACAAATGCACGGCCTTGTTCCGAAGTCTTTAAATCCAGCATACTCCAACGGTAGCTGATTTAGAGCATATCAATGACTTACTTACCAGTCGTTTCCTTAGTCGTGATTGCTGAGCTGTGGATCTATTTGATTTTAAGCATTTACGCTTGGGTCTTTCAGGTTTCAGTGTCTGCGCAGAACTGTTGCCGCAACTTTGTCTGCAGAAAACGACTGTGCCACAGGTGCGCGAGCTGCACAGAGTGTGAAATCCCTCTAATTTCACCCCCTTATTCTGCACATAATATTCCAAAACAAGTTGTTCGCGGTTTCAACTTAGTCGATGTCAGATGGGACGGCAGAGACACTCCAGAAAAGCAGCCACGATAGCAGCGGCCCCACAAGTCATCGGTAGCCAACGACCGTTGCACATTTTCTTAAAAGTACGTCTTATACCCCTAGCTTTATGTTTAACCATATCAGGAGACTTCCGTTGTTTTTTTTTTACTGAGATGACTTTTTCTGGAAATTCAGTTCAATGACGGAAAGCGTGTCGTGCGCGCAGTACTTCCTCAGCTGCACCGGTGGTCAAGCAGGGTTTGCTGCGGTGTTCTCCTGTGTCGCACGCTGCTGCAACTCCTAGTATTCAATTCACACCGCACACGCAGCCAACAGTAAAGTTGTTGGGGAGCGTGGTTTTGCTGCAAATGAGAAATTGTGACGATCAAGTAAGTAGTAGGAGCACATGCGTGCAAAAGATGGGTGCGCACCTTAAGGAATGCTGCCTCCATCGCTCTATACTCAGCTTCCATTGCCTGGAGCTCAAGGCTTTCTGTTTCCCCTTCTGGTGGAGCTTCCACTTCTTCTGAACCCCTTTCGGCCGTTTGCCGTTTGTTCTTCTCCTCTGCTGCCTAATGATTGACACAAATATGCAGGGACATAAGTATCGATGGTCTGGGAATCCCCTTCGTTACAGACATTTTTCAAAGCGCTGAGGAGTATCGGCTGCCGTCTGTGAACTTCCTAATAAACTACCAGATTGTTGACCCATTTCCCCGTCATGGAAAGGGACAAATACATTCAAGCGTGCAGATGTATGCACAAACTGCAGCTCCCTTAGGTATATACAGTGACAATAGCATTCGTCGTTGGAATGCGCAAGACAGCTATGCAGAGCTTCAATACCTTTTTAAGAACAGCTTCCCTCTCGTTCAAGTACTCCACTCGCCCATCATCCTTCAAAAGCATTGAAGAAATATGGCTCAGCTCATCCGTATTCTGCGTAAATGTGACAATCAAATGCATGAAGTAAGAGATGTGCATTCAAGCCATTTTATTTCCAGGTTTACCGAGCTTTTGATAACGCAGTTGTTAGAGAGACGCTATCCAAATATGCCAGTTTTTCTTGAGTTGTTAGCGAGCCTCACGGGGTTTGTTAAGCTGGGAAAGAGTTTGAGGACCCTCAGAGCCCCCGTTGCATCACCTGCTGCGAGATACGCAAGTGAGGGACTGCGTTCGTTGCTTGTCGCCATTGCCTCTCCCAGCGGAGGCTGTCGTGTGAGCTTTCTCGATTTGCGAACGTTGCTGGGAGTATGCTGGTGCGTCGGCGGCACTTGCTGCTGTTGCAACTGAGGGAAGGCCAGAGATGTCAACTGTACAGCAGACACTGCACTAATGGTAGTAGGCTTCTGCAGCTGATCTCTGAGGTCCCAAACTTCCAAATTTCCATCTGTTCTTCCAAGAAACAGAACCCCTGGACGTGACGGGCTCCAAACTCCGCAGGAGTAACTCGCGGGCGGCCTGAAATCTCAATTCCGTACACAAAATGCGCTTGCACAATCAGGTTTATACTAGCATACGGCACAAAGATCTGTGCGAAAGATTCATGGCAGCAAACAACATCCAGACCTGTTGAAAGCTGCCACCGGGCGCCAGAGACATCCAGTGAAAAAGTTTACCTTCCCACAGTACACCAGATTCACCAGATTCACGCATGCAAATTCGTTTGCGATGGCACGGTATGAGCAATGCGATACAGAGCGTTTTCTTCCAGAGCGGCCAAGGAATTGCCTCGCTAGTCTACCTCACGTAGGAGAGGAATACACAGGCCGAGGACACCCCAGTCTCAAGATGTGGAAGGCAAAGTCTGTGACGAGCAGGGCGATGCGAGGGATGAAAGGAGATAGCTGAAAGTCTCTCGAAGGTCGAAAACACCTAGTGGCCTGTTTGGTTGAAAACAGAAAAACCCGCAGCGAGAAGCAACACCTCTGTCCTTTATATCCTGTGGCAGCTGTCAACCTAATTTTTTTACCCTGCACCAGGCAGTTTGGCCTGATGAACTACCATGATCTCAACTCGGCAAAACAGGACACTGAGGTTTGTGGGTAGAACTTGCATGAAAATGTTGTTTGATGTGGTCTGATTTTCCGTCGTCAAAGGAAACTCCCCAGTCTCCTAGCAGCACATCTCCTTCTTCCTGAAACGGCAGCATCAAGCATACCTGCCGCAGCCTAGGTTATTGCGTAGCAAGTGGGGCTGGAAAGATTGTGCCAATACCTTATCACTCTTTCTTTTCCCGATTCCTTGGCTTTATGCACAGAAAGACAGGAAACAAAGCTTATACGCCCGAAGGGAACTGGAGGCAGTAGTGCAGCACCCTTTCCTAGGCTCAAAGACACAGGTACTTCATCCTGACAGGGCCTCTTTGAGAGCCTACGGTAGCAGCCCAGAATTCCGAGGAAACCGTCTGGGGCAACGTGGGGAGGACGATAAGGTGGCAACAGCCAACTGGGCCCCCTGTGATCATCGTCAGTCATTGGAGGCCATAGAGCAGTTAGCAAACCCTCTAACCTTCATTATTACCATAGGTCCTGATGGTCTGTATTCTGCAGGGAATTTCTGAGTGTGATGGAGCCACGCTTGGTTTCTGTCGTCAACGGCTTTCTTGTTGCAGGAGGCACATAATTGTGGTTATGCGGGCATGGCAGGCCCTAAGACCCAGCCGAATCGTTTACACCGTGTGCTGATGATTTGAACTTGTAATACCTATGGGAATTCTGTGTTGCTAGAGGGCCCTGCTTGCCTGGGTCTTGCTTGCGCAGATGGCACTGGAGCAGTGGCCTCCACAGAAACTCATTGTTGTCGGCACTTGCAACTGCAGCAGTAATATCCCATACGTGGACGCCTCCGTCAGCCCCACATGAAAGGAAGAATGCGTTCTCTGCCTGGGAGTTGAAGTAAATGGCAAGCGAACGCCTGAAATCTAACTTCGGCGGAAGGGGCACCAAATGCTGCACTGGGCGCTTGTGAGAGAAGTCAATGGCTGAAGAAACCACCACTGGCTGAAGCTTCGTGGAGTGCGTTGAGTCTGCAGTTGATGCGGAGTTTCACGCAAGGAGACAAAAGGGAAGAAACTGCATGAAGATAGAGGGGAAAAAGAGTGAACAAAGACTGGGGAGTGAACGGTGTATTTGCTGGAATTCAGCATGCACTTCTGGAGCTTATTGCTAGTGCTCTCAAGATGAAGAAAAGCAAGGGCCAAAGTGTCAGCTTAGTTATTGTCATTTTCAGTGGTGTACAGCGTTCTTAACCGATGATGAGGACCAAGAGCACAAGCAGAGGGTAGCCCAGCGTAAGGTGCTTTCCGGTTCTTTGTTTACAGGCGTACACCCACCGGAAGTAGCTTGTTGCATCCTGAGGGAGCTTGCTTCCCAAACTACGATCTGCAAAAGGCATGCATGCCGCACATGACAATTTTTAGCCCATGCCTTAGCCCAAGGCAAAGCTTCTTTGCCAGGCGGTGTGCGGAGGTTCGGTAACCAGAAATTCGTAGCGTTGGCCAATTCCAGCTACTGCACAGACAACCGCTTAGAGTGCCTCGCCACGGTTCGAATTGTTTGTCAACGTTCGCAGGCTCACTTGTCCAGTGAGCAAGCCAGCAACCAAGTAGAGTCTGTTCTGCGAAGCGGGAACGAAACAAAATGTTGTAACTTCCTGCACGCCAATCACCAGCAGGCCAGCCAAATCTTTTGAACACATTTCCGCACCTGGCAGTTGACTATCATTTGTTAATAGCAGCATAGCTCTCAAAGGAGGACTGAGAATCGAACACCTAGCTCCCAAAATAGTGTGGCAAAGTAGGGATGCACTTGTGTCACTTGGCCCGTTGGTTGATCCTCCGCTTATGGACAACGTGCACGTTTAACAGTTGTGTGGTAGCATTAGCCTACATGGAAACTCCAAAATGATCATTCTGATCTGAGGCTGTGTCATGCTGACTGCAGCAGAGGCTTTCTTCGCTACGCATACACTTTCCACAAAGGCTAAAGGGATCGAGTGAGGGGGCAGCTACCATTTAGTAGGATGTCGAGTGTCTGCGTGTGTGTACATATATTTGTTCGTCCCTTACAGAAGGAGCGGCAAATAGTTGCTGAGGAACTAGTGGGTTTTCAAGAGACCAAATGAGGATTACAGACTTGGAAGAGCGAGCAGGCGCTTCCACGCGTTCATCGAAGGTAGCTGCATCCATTGCCGCGCAGGCTATGAGCTTTTCCGACCTGTTCGCATGAAATTCATATTCCTTCTGCTCGGCATACTTACGTGGTTAGTAAATTGCATTTTTGGACAAAGTGGGAGGATAGCGTATCGCCGTGATGTGCAGGCCGAAAGCAGTGTCGGCGTACTCAGGAATCCACCTAATGAAGGAAATGAGCTTGTTTTTTGAATATGAGAGGTCTGTAAATGTGAACACCTCCTTGAGCCCTTCTTCCGGCTCTTGGACTGAAGCGCTAACCGTGGTTTCCATTTGCGACAAGTCGTCTTTGAGGATATCCACGGTTTCGTTCTGTTGCAAAGCTTCCTCTATCCTAGAAGAGATGGGCACATCAGCCAATAACTGAAATAACTGGAGCAAGAGGCAGTAAGAACCACAGCAAGGCGACCCGATTGTTGTATGTGGATGATTTAGATCATATTTAACTCAGAAGCGTACGTGCTTGCCACTTTAGAGAAGAAGGCCTGAAAACTCTTGCGGGAGACTGCACTTGGGAGACCTGGTCCCTTCTGAGGCAATGGCACATAACCATTTGGCCCTGTGCACCCTTCATTGTAATGTTCAAGTCCTAAGTACTTGGCGAAGTTTAGGAGGCATGGCACAGTACTTCTTAATCGGTTTCATAGTGATTTCCCGTTCATTTGCCATGAAAAAGCCTGCGAAGGAGGGGTAATGTGTTCCTATGAAAGGTTCAACTCACTGTTAGACTATTTGAGTCGTGCTGTATCTCTACACTATTCATTGCGTCTCCTGCCGCCTGGGACCAGGCGTCTCGCATTGAAGGGACGGCCTGGACGCCAAAGTCGAGTTCTTGCTTGATGTCGACGGAGAGAGTATCCTGAACATCAGCAGGACCCGCAACGACTTTAAAGCAGCAACTTTGGGTAGTTCAATGAAGAAAATTAGAAAACACTGGCATGTTGCTGAGGGATTTGACGGATGTACGCGAGCGTGTACTCCAAAATGGCTCTGGCAGAACGGCAACTGAACTTTGCGGGCCGACTTTGAGTGTTTTGAGGGACAAAACACGGTCAGCAAAGGGCTGGTAGGAGGCAATACAGCCCAATTCTTCTGCCCTCTTGAGAAACGTTTGCTTCAGTAGTGGTCGTTTTGCTTTTATTGTCATTCCTTCAATTTCATTCGCCGTCATATCCGCCGTCTCCGACTGCCAGTCGCGGGGGGTTAAAGGGATATCGGCATTTTCGTCTCTCAAACGCTTTTTAGCCTCCATTTCCAAATCCTGTCTTTTCTTCGATTCTGCCTCTCCTCTCGCTGCACTGGCTTCCGCACTGGCTGTCGTAATTGCCTGAACAATGCAGGCAGGTAGAAGGGATACTTGCCGAGGGCTGGAACACACAAATCGAGATGGTGATCAGCAGCTTCGTGGAGCCGTTTGTTTCAAAAACAAATACCAAGGAGGCCACCGTCTCCCGTTGAGGGCGCCTTCTAGCCTTACTGGCTTACTTCGTGAACTGCCTTGAATGCTATTTCGGTGAAGGGCATCAGGTAATTTGCACCATAGCTGCCTGCTTCATCCCGCACCAGCAGCACGTCCTCTAAAGGATAGGCCTGCACACTCACAGTTGTTTTTCGGTGCAACGCAACGATTCAGTGGCTCCTTACCTAGAGTTTTGTTCAATGAAAGGAGATAATGTTTCCTGTGATGGCAGACATCGTCGAGCCCATTACACAGCCAAGCAGAAGTGTGCCTGATGTACTTTGATAATAGCCTTGTGCTCAGCCCAGTCGGAGTCCTTTCCTTTCTTTGTTATCTCCTGCAGTATGGCCCTCTTCGAAAAGCTTTTGAATGGGCTCAAGACACAAGCAGAGTCTTCACCTTCTAGTAGGCCCATTCGCTTCAAGTTCTGCTTCCGCACCAACACGCCCATGATCCCGTCGAGGCCGCTTGCGATGTGGATCCTTATGTCGCTGAATTAAAGGATAATCTCGAACACATGCACAGTACCTCCCTGTATGACCTTAATCTTCTCCTGTTGGCAGAATAGCTAGAAGTTTGTTGTGCAGCTTGTGCGCAGCTGATGCCTAGGCCATCTAGCCGTCACAAAAACGACGAGCCGTACACACAAGTGGAGAAGAAGACACACAGTAAAGGCAAGTACAAGTGTTAGACCATGCAGTTCCACTCTGCTTTGGCCCACCCAGAAGAGTACTTTTCCTGATCATTGCCCTCTAGTCGTGCATCACCTTCTTCATCGTTGCCCATGTTTGCGTCCTTAGGCTGTTCTTCCAAACCATCTTGCCCTTCTCCACCGCTCGCTTCTGCTGTTTTCAGATAGACCGAGGGGGGATCCCCTGAGGCTTCTGCCAGGTCCTGTGATGTTGTCAGTGGCTCGGGGTTATCCACAGCGGCAGCATCCCCTTGCTGGGGAAACGAGCCAGATGAGTCCTTATCAGGTAACTCCTCACCGCCTTCAGTGGAGCTCTGAACAACTCGGTGGGGGGAGGAGCCCTGGGGCACCTCCTCGGGGGTCATTTTCTCCTAGATCCCTAATAACCCCTGGCTGTGCGTATTAACAGCTGCCTTGCCTTTCGCTACTTGGAAAGCAAGGCCAGCCGAATTAATTCTTACTAAGGTCAGTTAATATGATTTTAAATATTTGAAATATTGGCCAAGAATGCAACTCTTGGCAAGCGGGGCTCGTCAGTGACCCTGAGGGCATGCTGTCTCCCCTCTAAGGCTCCCCCAGCCTATTTTGCCTTGAAGTCATAAGCAGGCAAGCTCAGTGCGACTGAATAACTTAGTGTCAAAGCTTAAAATGAAAAATTAACCCACGGAATGAGTGAAAGATGCCACGAAAACGCCTTCACGGTGTTTTTCGCAACAGCTGGAGTTGTTGCGAGCCCGAAGTGCGCGGACCCTTAGTGTTAGCGCTTTCAACAATCCTCGCCAACTAACTCCTGAGTTCATTGCCACTGCAAAGGCTGGCTAATGTGAGTCGCTTAAGCCTGACTAAGGGGGGCAGAACCGGATGCCGCAAATCCCGTTGTTAGTCAGTCTCGAGCAGCGGTACGCACGGCACGAAGGGATCCCTTCCATATCTGTTGAAATCGTGCCATTACTGCGAATGGTAAGGGAATATAGTGCAAAACAAATGCGTGGGATCTTAAAGATGCAGCTTTCCGCCAACCGTCCATGTCGCACAACGGCTGCACCACTGAAGCGTCTGTGGCCGCGAAGCCTAGCCGCCATGACCTCAAGCTCCGTCGCATTCCGAGGTAATCCTGTCTCATTTTCACCTACAGAACCCTGGGCTGTTATCTACTCGAAAGCCTGTTGCCGACTTTGTTGTCTAGGGTGTGGGGTATGACTACTATCCTAAGAGATCATGCACCACTGTTGCGTGAGCAGTCGTTACGCGGAAGCTTATCTGAGTCTTGCCCACGATATTTTTTTCTTTGCCCATATAATGCAACCACCAAGTCTAGCTACGAAGTAGTCAACTGTATAAGGAGTGGCTCAGATCCGCAGGCCGTACAACTGGGATCGTATCGATGCGCCGTGCTGTAAATGGAATAACTCCTTATCACAGAAGCAGCGGCAGTGAATTCAGTCTTATTATCGGCTAAAATTTTAGTCTGACGGCACTGGCCTATCGGCTGAACCCGAATGGCAACTGCCACAGTCGTGATTGCATTTGTGTGCATAAGAGCTGCTGGAGCCTCGCCCGTATTACACGAGAAGCCGTTCGAAGCTCCAAGCAGGTTCATGCTTAGAGTTTTTGTGTCGGGAACTTTACTTAGTGGTACTGCAAAGGTACAAAGGCTGTCCAATCCAACGCTATATCCTCATTCTGGTGCGCTATTCTTAGAGACAGGAAGGCATCAGCTCATTGTGGAGACATTCTCCTCCTGCGTCCAGGCTATTTGAGATTCGTGTTAGGTTTTTTAGTTAATGTTGAGCATTCTCCTTTCGTTAGGTGCATGGTTTCCGTGAGGTTGCAACCAGGCTTTGTTTGTGTTTTTAAAGACGTTTTGAAGACGTGGGGTGGAGCGAGACCCTATCTTCTGAGGCCGGATGTCGTGTGTTTTAACAAAGCCAAAAGGATTTCATAACATCTTGCCTCTACTCCTTTTTCTAACGGCTCTACCACTCCTTGTAATGGCCCTAAGCACAGGGGCATTAGGGTTCTAGGGTTCGCCTGTCTTGTGTCACAGCACAGATACCACCATATGCTACTGAATCGAAGCAGGCCTCATTCGAAGCACGCATCCGAAGCCTACTTCCCATGCATAAATTTATTCATCAATCAAAGTTAAGTATTTCTTCAACCCTCATAACCAACAGGAGTACAAACATGATTGCCTTTGCCCGTTTCCAACAGGCACTGCTGCATCACGCGGGTATTCTACAGAAGTGCATCACTCCTGCTGTGGTACGGAACGTGGTCGAACCAAATTTCCATGAATCACGTGTTGGAACTTCTTGATCAAAAGAGCTTACAAAAAAATGCTGTAGCTTACAGCTGCAGCATTTTTCTCGCAAGGAATTATAATGCGGCTAGAACAGCTCATAGAGGGCGCCATAAATCATACTGAATGTTAGAAACTTTCCTAAATATTGGCAACGAAGGATTCTGAGCTATTAGGATCTCTATTCGCTCAGAGAGGTGGTCTCACCCCCACCAGCGGCTGTTAAGTAATCTGTCGACGGTAGCACAGAAGACTGTCAGCACCTTCCTCTGTAGGCAGCTGCCGTTGCGGACCCAACGACGGCTACCTCTTCAGGCAGCGTCCGAAGCCACCTCAGATGGTGGGATGACAAAGAACAGAAACAGCAGGGGAAGAACAAGAAACACACGATGCTACTGATGACAAAGCCGGCAGTCCTTTTGTTTCCTGCCTGTACTCTAAAGTTAATGAGGTTCTAAACAGCTTCAAGAAACAAAATTCTGTTTTCATTCGGGTTGGCTTCTTGTCGCTTCGGCGTAGCAAGACACATGGGATACATCCGAGTGATCTCTGTCTCCCAGCCGTAATATGCAAAAGTCTTAAAAACAGATCACCAATGAAGCATCAACATGTGACATAGCTCCCTTATGCATACCCCTCAATCAGCTCAATAATAGCAAACGCAATCCTCTCCACCACTTTACATTCATGTTAATATGTCAATCAGTACAGTGCTCGGAAGCTCTATACCCCTCAAAGGGCCCGCCGACTAAGAAGGTCAAATAAACACGGGCAAACTGCCGAGCTGCGATTCACGCCGGGGTTGTAGTAGAGGAAGATTGTAGTGCCCACCTCACCAATCGCCTGCTTGTATAGTGTTTACGGTCCTATATAAAGCAGCACTAGCCAATTCTGGGGGCTCGTATTGGATTTACAGTGCAATAGCGCACAAGCCGGCCTTCTCCTACATCCCCTGTTTACACCAAAACACTGTTCGCTGACCTGGCGGTGGATGTCGTTGTTGGCAGCTACAGCTGCAGGTCAACAAATGTCGGCTTCCATACGGAAACAGCAGTAACTCGGGATTGTTTGAGAACGCAGAGGAGCTCGGGGTACTGCGGCAATTGGCATTTGCTTTTGTATTTGATTCGAGCTGCTCATTTGCAGTAGATTCGCACTGTCGGCAGTGAGCACATGTTGGTAAATAAAGAAGTTTGTCATGCTCTGCAACTTGCTAAATTTAGGGACGTGTCTCACATGTGGGTAGCTAGCTCCATTTGCATTTCTTTCATTGGTTAACACGCTGGCTCAAATTATGTATTTACACCAGCCCTAAGTGGAGATGCTCCCATACCATTTTCTTTGGTTGTGTGTAACGATTAAAGAAATCACCCAACCTTTCTCAAACACTACTTAAAAAGGCAACGTCATTGCAAGGGTAGCGGATGTTGAGGTCCTGCAGGCAACTGTAAAGGCCTGCTGAAGTTTCGCATGACCAAGGAATTTGCCAAAAAACCCAGCCCGAATGGCACTGTGAAGAACGCTGAGAGAGGCTCCCCTCAACATAGCCATTGAAGAAGGTTGTGGACCCTAGGAATCTCAGAGCCCCAGCGGACTGGTACATACCCTCGTAAGCGGCTGTACAGCCAGTAGCCGACGAGGCTACCCAAAGTCAACGCCCTCCTCTCAGCAACGTAGGCCCCGAAAACCAACTCAAATAAGGAATAACCAGCACTGATGAGTGCAGGTGCGACCCGAGTCCCCTCCCATGATGGGTTGTAGAAGACAGGAACAGTAGAAGGAATTGTCAGCAAAACGGGATGCTGCTAACGGGCTAGAATTCAGCCACTTTAATCATGTGATTACTCTAAAATAAACAGCATTATGAAATGCTGTTTACGAAACCAAATATTGCCCGATGTTTCAATGCCATTTTCCTAAATTCCCCGGGAAAATGTCTGTGGCGCATCTGTCTAGCTTACATTTGCGGAATATTTCAACTTCGCGAGCCACGCCTGTCGCCCGGAGGCAACCTGCAAATAATAAAGCCCAAAAAGGACTGAGCTGTGCACGTTAATAGCTAAGAGGCAGCCATCAAATCTTGGAGTCGTACGAAGTGTTCTTTCGTCTCCCATGCTCTTCCTTTGGCGTTGGTATCTAAGGATTTTAGCCCTGCGGAAATGGCAAGTTCACGAGGTCTTGGGTCGTGTAGCCCCACAAATCTCCGGAAAGGCGTTTGCTTCACGATGGAAACGTTCCCTATGGATGCTGCCTTCTAAGGCTCGAATAAAAGTTCAGCAGCTGGCTGTAGTGCTAAGACATGCACCAAATGGGGGTTTGTTGTGTTCGCACATGGGGTTGCCTCGAAGCACTGGTTGCAGCGAGGTACGTTGGAACTCATCTCATTCGGTCGAGGCCCCTCGAAAACCGTTCCCGAAGACATGAGGGAAGGTTAGTTGTTTTTTGGTAGATCGAATCTTCAGTATTGTGACTTGTTCGGAGCTCACGATGGTCCTTCGGCACGGTCGAGAACTCCCGGAGAAAAATGAAACCGGCCGTCGTGGGGTTAATAGAGCACGTATGCAGTGGGATACCCCTTTATCTAGTATAACTGATTGTGGAGTGGTTCTTTAAATAAAAACCGTTCTCATTTGTTTCGACGAAACGCACAGCGGAAGGCGCTGCTAGTCCAAATGGTGAAAGGCTTCAGAAATGGTGAGATGCTCCTGGCATCAGAGGAACCAAAGCTCCAAATCGGCAGTATATTGAATTCAGTTGCATTAGTTTTTGAATACTTTCATGAAATAACCTAAAGGAGACATGCTGGGCATGGTTTGCTCTGAACTTGCCTCGAGTGGGAGTCTCAACAGAAGTTGCAGGGTTTCACTGCAGAGCTCAGCACATCTTGCGGTTTTCCGGGATCCTGCCGTAGTTTCTGTGCTTAGGAGTATTCATTATAGACGCGAAAGGCCTAGCAGCTAGACTCTAGTTGCAGCTTATGTTGCATCACACAAGCCGCGTCAAATTATCTTGGCCAGGTGACCCCGCATGTGGGGGGTGATGCACCTTGCAACTGCCATTGGC